TTTTTTTTTTTGACAGACATTTTCATTTTACAGCAGCTTTTTCCTTGTGGACTCCTAACAACATCCACTGTATGAATTTTGTCAACAGTTGCAACCTCGCTAACATCTTGAGTTGTAACAGACTTGTCTCATGGTGCATGTGGTGCACAAATGAGCCAAATGATAAGAAGGGAGACCGAACATTTGGCTCAATGCTGTGTTCAATATAAGAGCGACATCAGTTTCCACTAGTATCCTCAGCCTGGCGACCACTGTAAAAATTTCCTGGCTCTGGTGTAGACCTTTTTAAAAAATCTAGACAGTCTGTTGCCAATATGAGCAGATTTGCAGTAAGTATCCACTTTCTCTTTAGTATGTGAAAAAAAGACAATTAAATGGGAGGCTGGGAGGTATGATGTATGGATGGATGATGAAAAGAACAAGTGCAATGACAAGTAAATGCAAAGCATGACTGACATTCCTGTTCAATGAATGAAATGAATGACAAGATGAGTTTGTTACCTACATGAAGGCTGGAACTAGAGGTTGAAAGGTTAATGATAGCAGAACTGGTTCCATCCGCAAGCTACAACACATATATATACACACACAAACACACATTTTCAGGTTAGTTTGTTAGAGTTAGCTTCAATATTTGCAACACATCTCAATGATGAATCATAAAAGACAATTTGAAAGTGTTAATCACTCAAAAAGAAGGAACATGATATTAGAAATATACATGAAAATTATAACATTAGACACTGTTAGACATTATCTACTAACATTTGAAGGGACATCAGTGACTCAAACACACAGAAACATCACTGTCACCATTGTGGGTTCTAAACATGAACTGAGTGTGTAATTGTGTTATTTCCCTGGAAGGTCCCACTATGGAAGAAATGCAGATACCCAGGTCTAAGTCATCACTGTAGATGACCACAACCCAAACCCCAACTCTAACCCAAGGCAATCAGAATATACCTTTTTTTCTCCATGATATTGGTAAAATACAGAAGTAATAAATCTGCTTTATCTTCCACCAAAATACACATTAGAGAAGGATTGGGGTTAGGGTTAGTAACGGCTGTACCTTATACTTCAGAGAATTTACTCTGATGGACTGTGACAGAACCCAGATTAGGAGGACAGAGAGTCAGATTTACTAAACATGGGTGATTTACAACAGCTGAGCTGTTTTTATTATCATCGCACAGTTAGTTAATTTCAAAATCAAACATAAAAAATACACATACATACCATGCATCATATCATGCATAATTAGCCGTAAATTATGTGTCGCAGATGCTAGTAAATCAGTTTGAGCGTCTTTATAAAAACAAACAGTATTTTTTTTCTTTTACACCACTGTATAATTGTACAGTGCTATATAAACACAACTCACATGAATTTAAAGGCCAGTTTGCATTTGCACCACTCATTAGTAAATCTGGCCTCAAGTGTTTAGAGAAAGTTAGAGATCAGCTGAGAACAGAGAAGGATAGAGCAAAGATAGGATGGGAAAATCTGAATGTGCCGTCATCACCTTGCAGTGGTAGACTTTATATTAAACAAAAATGTATGGACATGTAGATATTTGTAACAATAGAACCTTCAGAAAAAAACTCTAATGACTTTATGACCTCTTACATTATTCTGAACTCTTACTATAATTTAATTTACTTTATAGTCCCATAATAGTTATAAATCAGGATGAAAGCATTGTTTATGTTAGGCTGGGCCAACCTTGTTATTTACATGTCACTACTCAATAAGCATGCAGTGACCTTGTTTTCACAGTCAGATCTCCCCGTCCTGACAGTTTCTCGACAGTCCTTGGAGCACCTCTGCCAAGTCTAAGGGGTAAATACTGATGCCTTTATAACCAAAAGCCTGAGTAGCAAAATCGGTGGAAAGTAGGTTTGTGCTCACGGAAGATGATGCAGGTAACCAACGATGGTCAGAATGACTGCCAAAAGTTCACAAATCATAGTGATATTTGGCTTGTTTCCCAACTGATTATTGTACGATTCCTATTGAAGAGAATCTATCTCACTACTGTGCGATCTCTTGTAAAAAGGATGCTTGTGCACGTGCAGATCCAACTTTTTTTTTTAACCAGGTTTTATGTTTTTCATTTTACTGCTGAGTACAGGGAAGAGCAGCGTAGAGAGAGAGACTGAAAAACTTAGATGAACTATAGGCCGAAAGAGAAAAAGATTTTACTAAATATGGAAGTGGAAAATGAAGACCATGTCTGTCTCTCTTTGTGTCTCCAGGATTACTGCTGCTGGTGAAACGGTATGTATTATGGAAGTGGATAGTGTCCCAGACTTTGGAGAAAATCGTCCAACCCTAGTAATAGTAGTAAACCCTAGTGAATTTTCAAACACGTGTAATGATTTCAAATTGGAAAACAGAGTATCAGTATTTGTTTGGTTGGAGCAATCTGAACTAATAGCCAGGATATAATTCGCTGAAAAAAAATGCAGCTCTTAAATGCTAAACTTCTTTAAAAATCAGAACAAAGTTAAGTGGTTTTCAACCCATGTTTAACCAAGGTTACATGCAACCTGATCTCAGTGAATAATGTGAAGTGACCACAACCTCCTCAAAATGCATTATGTGGTGATGGCACACAAGGCTCCAGGAAAACAATGCCAATGGAAAGTCAATAAGGAGTTTGGTTGTGGTGGGTGGACAAATTCCCTGGCAATGATGTTGCCGCAAAAGCTGACGATCTCTGCATCCAGAGGTGGGTGTGAGTGTGCTGGTAGCTTGAATTACACAAAATTCTCACATAAGGGAGTGGAGTCATTATGAATTGCTGTGGACATTACTGTCCACTAAACTGTGGACAGCAATGTCCTTGTAGTACTATAAACAAATGAGTTATCTATAGTTCCAATATTCAAGTATCCAATTGGACACTTGATTTGATTTGACTACAACTGGTTGCCACATGTCTCTGCTGACTTTGACTTTCATGAAGAAACCTCAGCGTTTAATCATTTTATTTTGCACAAGCTGTGAACTGATCACCATCCCACTTTACTTTTATTCTTTAAAGGTTTGCAATCTTCAAGTTAAGAAGAAACAGATGAAGCTCCACAAAGATTGATTATCAAAGACCAATTTAATTAAACAAGTTAGCTGTGCGCCAAGTTTGGGTTTTTTGCTTTTTTTTTTAAGTGCAACGAAGAATTTCAGCAGTACAAAGAATCCGCTGAGACAAAGCTGCTTGTTGCTGACCAAATGTCGCACTTTGCTCCATTAATTTACAACTTCTAACTCATCGCCTGGTCTGAATCTGCAAATTGGGTTGACAAGAGTGCAGATTTTCTTTTTTCTTTTTAAGCTGTCACTGCAAATTTATCATCCAGTTGCGTGACTGTTATTGCACCCACACAAAGCTGTTCTGATGATGAACTGCACATTTTAATTGGATTAGGGTGTTAATGTCAGGGAGTGTACACTGATTTCAACACCCGCAGACGCACTAATTAACCTCGCTTATTTAGCTCATGTTGTACATATTTTTTTGAACTCCCATGTCACTAAACATTTACCGCTGCCCTCCCCCCTCAAACACAACAAGGCAATTGAGGTTTTGCATCAGTGCAAGAGAATGGAAAAATGGTCAGTGTCGTAAGAATGAGGTAACAGCAGTATATTAGAGACAGTCCCATGATGTCTCCTTATGTTAAATAGTGCACATATTTGTGTGTATGTGTTTTCCTTATGATGTAAATGCATAAAGCATGTCTCCATAATGTTGATCATTCAATTTTAACATGAAGTTTTGGTAAGTTTAGTCAAGGGTTTAATTATCATTTAGATAAATTAAAGTCAATGTAATGTCCTCTAAGTGACAGAAACACAAATTTGTGTGTGTGTGTGTTTGTGTGTGTGTGTGTGTGTGTGTGTGTGCAGCTTTTGTGGCGCCTGTGGGTTAAGGGATACCAAGGAGGGCCGCACAGAGAAATTAAAAAAGGGAAAAATTCCAGCAGGCATTTCAAGATGATGAAAGGATCAGTGAGGGGATGATTGGCTGATGAACCACAACAATGAAGCGAGAGAGAGGAAACGGAGGAGGATAACATGAGGATTCCCCCTAATGAGCTGCCACATTAAAACAGCTGCCAGCTTGATCGATAGAGAAGGGAAGAAGGAATGAGAAAATGAATTAAAAGGGTAAAGAGGGGAAGGCAAAAGACGAATGGAGAGAGAGAGTGTGAGAAAAACTGGGTTGACTGGAGAGGGAAAATAAAAAACAGAGGTGAAGCAAGCTTGAAAAACAGAAAGATGGAGAACAATGAAATGGAGAGATGAAAGGATTACTGAATAGATGAAAACTGCGCAAAAGAAAGTATGGCTAAAGTGAAGATAACAAGAATGGCGATAAATGGAGATAGTAAAGTAGGAAGGAAACTAGAAGGGAAAGGGCAGAGGGATGTAAGGAATGGAAGGATATATAATGAATGAAAATAAGGACAGAAGAAGAGATGGAGCAAAGGAGGTTTTACTGGGAAAAGGGTGACAGAAAAGGGAATAGAGTTAAGTAAAAATTTTATGTAACAAGGAAAAGAAGCAAGGAAGGAAGGCAGAAGAAAAACATAATTTGGTAAAAGCTAAAAAGTGAGCAGAAAAGAAGGAACAACAACTGATAAATAAAATGTAAATGTGTAGAATGTAAAGAATGAAAAGAAGCAAATAATCGTTTTATTGTGCAGAGGAGAGAGAAGAGGGAGAACAATAGACAGAAGCAAAGGAGGAAGACCGAGGGTTTTGAAAAGCAAAGAAAATGAATGACAGCTGATGACAGCAGAGAGGGGAAACTGAGGAGAAGAAAAGAAGAAGTGATAGACATCAGCAAGAAGGTGCAGGGCTCCAAAACAGAAGTCTTGAATTGTTTTACTCTCACAGAGGAGGCTGACAGAAATCACGAGCTTGGAATTCTTTCCAGAAAACTCACAAGTCCTCTGCAGATTCACTGTCTTCAAATGTTACTTCAGTATTCTCAAAGGGGCCAATCCAGTGGTTTTCCATGTTGTAGCCCATTAACTTCAAATCCTGCACACTTAAACATTACTGCAGAACATTTTCCAAGGCCTGCCACACTGTCTTTAGTGATTTCTGAACAGGCAACCATTGGTTTTGCATAATTACAGTTCAGAGCAAATACCAACCAGCAGAGACAACTCGTCTATTCTTTTAGTTATGTTAAAGGAATATTTTCATATTTTGATGAGTGTTTACTTTCTTATCATGGCTGCCAGATGGGTATTTTAGCATAAAGATTGTAGACAAGGGTGCCAGTACCTTTACCATCTCCAAAGGTAAGAGCAAGACTTCTAACCTTAATGATGATGTAGGCTGTTTGTCCCTACCCTCTGACCTAACATACAATCATCATAGAGGCAAAAATATGCCATAAACTGTTAAAAGTGCTGAAAAATAGATACACTGGCCATTTTTGATGACACAATGCTGTTGTAAAAGTATGGTTAAGTTTAAACAGAGTTAAATGTTGAGACTTTTTAGAACTCCTTTAATGCCACTAAAAAGTGCCCACAAACATGCTTAACCAGTGTGGTGGTCCAAGTGACAACAACCCAGGGCTTTAAAATGAAGCCAAAACACGAGTGCCAAAAAGTGCAGTTCTTCTAATGGACACATAGGGCTGACTTCACAAGTTTGTCAGTCCCCAACAGGGTCTTATGTTAAACTGTTAAAATAAAAAACATATTTGAGGGGCAAGAAAATAGTGTTTGCTTCAATAGACTATAAAGCTATGTCTTCACAGAAACCAGTACAGTGCCATGGTGACCAGACACTGTAGAAATGACACTTGTTGACTTCAAGCTACAGGTGACGCAAAGTAAGCGGGTCCTGAAATACACTTTCCTCAACTTGGAGGCAAGCAACTGAAGTGATTGTCAATAAGAGTGCCAGATACCACAGATAAACCTATGACCTGGTAGTGAATACATTAGCGGATTACCTAGGAAACTGGAGTCCGAAATGTCCACTGGCGACCAATGGTCAACTTCGAAGAGATGCATGGCAAGTGAATTGCTCACTGTGTGAGTGACAAATGTGCCAATGCAGGCAGCTGGAGCCAATCAGTGTCTGCTAGACCTCATCCATTGCTTCAAGTCATTAAATTCAACTGAATTCAATTTTTGTTTACATGTGGGGTAGCTGTAGATCTGGTGGTAGAGCAGGTCATCTACTAACTGGAAGATTGGTGGTTCAATCCCCGTCATGCCAAATATCATTGGGCAAGATACTAATACAAAAAGTTCCTTTCCGAGTAACTTGATCTGAGTTAGATTTTGATTTTGTCATCCAAATCAAATTGGTTCTGACTCTGAGTAAAAAACCCATCACGTCAGAGACCAAAACTCTACTGGTGAACCTTGAAAATGGAAAGTTTATATTGGCTGTGTGTGGTTATGCATGCTGCAAATATAAAAAACACCTTTGACATAAACTACAGTTTGGTTCAGAAGCATTTTCAGACATGTTCTTGTACCATTAGTAGTTATTAGTAGTCATTATTATTATTATTAATAAACTTAATAATCAATAGCCCAGCAAGCACTTATTACATTTATTTACTTATTGTTGGGCCTACTTAGGCCCAACTGGGCCAAGCTTCAAACATTTTTATGTTTTTATATGCAGTGCAACAGATCAGTTTTGTGATTTCTATTGGAAACATAACATTTTGCCATCCTTACCACACATTTTAAAGCAAAATGTCTGTGAAAACAATACCAGGCGGTTTCTATTGAGTTTGGAGTTTTTGTTAGGTGGAATTGAAGATTTGTTAGAGTCTTTCAAATTTTATTCATACTGACGATAAGGACTTACTGTGTGTTTAAAGAAACATGTTTCTCCATGTAGAGTCAAAGTTTTTTCAAAGTTTAGTTGCTGCTACTTACAGATATAGGGGATGTTATGTCAACCCATAGCCCAGAGCACAATTACATATTCAATAATAAAAACAACAACATTATTAATAATCACCAATTTCTTCTCATTTGATCAATTCCCTTCTGTGTCACCCTCTCCATGTCTTATACCAACACTGCACTCTTCTAACTCTTCTCCTCCTAACACTATTTTTAGAAAATGTAACAACAACAACATCATCTTAAACATAATAACGACTTTGCGTTTTTGCAGTTTTTGGGGGGACCACAGTTTGATGACAATGCATTCCTCCTGAAACTTTCCAGCTCCCTTCAGTCCTCAAACATGATTACACAATGATAGCTGCGGTGTGTGTTTAGCATTTATAGCGCTGCATTATTTATGTTTGCGCCCTTCAACGGAACCTCGTGCGGTCTGCCAAACCAATAAAGCCAAATTATGTCGCGGTCTAATTCTATACAATCTTCTATTCACTAATACACACAATGAAACCACTTACGACTGTGGACCAGGAGGGGGGTAAGAGGGGATATTTAAAAAATGCTTTAAAAAGACTACATTTTGTTAGTAATTGACTTTATGTGTTCTTCAAACTGTGATGTCAAAAATCTTTGACCAGTCATCCGGTAAGGAAATCCCAAAAAACTGATCCTGTTCATCTGGATGTAGCATTTTGTTCTTTTTATCAGTGGTTGTTGATGAATAGTCATGGAAATTTGCATATTAATGCTCAAGAATCTGACCTTGCAGCCCTTACAGTCAGTGGTGCTAGTTTCAGTCATTGTGCACATGTACTCTTTAAACGGTTGGAGAAATCAGTGTCTGCTAGACCTCATCCATTGCTTCAAGTCATTAAATTCAACTGAATTCAATTTCTGTTTACATGTGGGGTAGCTGTAGCTCTGGTGGTAGAGCAGGTCATCTACTAACTGGAAGGTTGGTGGTTCAATCTCCGTCATGCCAAATATCATTGGTTGGAGAAACCTGCAGTCAGCTGAGACTGAAGAAGTCACTTGGATGAGTGATGAAACGTTTCTCCCTCTGAAAATGCTACGTCCAGATGAACAGAATCAGCTTTTTGGGTATTCCAAAAATAGTTTGAATTGTCCAAACATGAAGAAGAAAGACAGTGGGACCTGTTGCTATGAGCCTAATATGGCTGTGTCCTGTATATAGGTTCCCTCCTCACCACTATCCTTGGCAGTTTTAACTCAATGTGAAAAATAGCCTTTACTAAATAAACAATTTTATCTGCATTCGAGTGATATTGTTGGCAAGGCTCTTTTTTTCCTTTTCTTTTGTTAAAGATTTTGGATTTCAGGAAGGTGAAAGTCACAGCCCAGCCAGAGAATCCTTAAGTAAGTGAGAGGAAATTTACAGATGAACACAAAAGTGTTTTTGATGCTTTAAAGGCAGTTTTGTGGCAATTATTTAAAGTACTAATTACCAGTAATTACCTACAGAGTAATTAGCCAATAATTGTGCAGTGTTGTGTACACAGAGCAGGTTTAGGCAACTAGCTGATACAAAAAGCTCTTTTACCTGGTCAGACACAAGCGGCTGCTCATCATCGATGTCAATAAAAACCTCCCCAGAAATTAAATGGGGCGTCTCACCTACACGTGCCAACACACACAGGAAAAGAAGACACTTAACATTTATCATCAGTGTTAATCATTTGCTGTATTTTTTTTCCACTGCTGTGCGCCTTACGTCTCCATCCTTCCTCCTCTCCCTCCAACTCCACTGGTTGCTCATCTTCTTGGTTGTAGCGGTACTCCTCCAGCGAGCGGATGGTGCACTGCCCAACCACCGGCTTCCTCCCAAACTGACGATTGTCAATGACTTTGATGACGATTGGCGGCATGTAGAGCTCCTCTTGGGGAAGTCTCTGTGGTGAGATGGAGGAAGATGAAAACACAAGGACTTAAGCGTCTGGCTGCTTAACGTCTATTTCTAATTGGTTATGCCACCTGCCTGCGTGATGTTGACTGGCTGTGGCTGCTGATTGCCTAAAACTGATTGGTCACCAAGGCATGACCAATCAAGGCTTAAATGGACCTTTTCAGACGTAAGGGAAGAAATAGCTGAATCTGCAGAGGTGCAGATACCATCTTTGTGATGGAAATCAGGGTACATACAACACTTTGAGTTAAAGTGTCTTGACGCATGCTCAATCATCCAGGTAAGGAAATCCCCCAAAAGTTGATTCTGTTCATCTGGACGTTGCGTTTTCAGTTGGAGAAACATTTCGTCACTCATAATCAAGTGACTTCTTTAGTTTCAGCTGACTGCAGGTTCCCCCCAAACCTTTCAACAGTACCTTTGCACAATGCTGAAATTAGCCCACTGACTGAACAATAGGGTGGGAGGTCAGTTTCTTGATCATTGGATTAATATGCAAATTGTCATGACCATTGATCAACAACAACTGATCAAAGACCACTGATCATTGACAATCTTACAATTCTGTGATTGCAGCCATTCCCCAACTCTCTGTGAATGGTACTGATGGCCATTGATCAGTTGTCACTGACAGTAATGAAACATTTCTCCCACTTAAAATACGACGTCCAGATGAAATGAATCAACTTTTCGGGACTTTGAGTTAACATATAAGTTACGGATTTTAATATAAGGTTTGCAAGTAAAGTGACACAAAAAAAAGATTTTAAAAAAAAAACATACAAGTTGCAGTAAACTCTGTCCTTTTCAGTATATGCCATTTTGTTCTGTCATGTAAGTGTCACTTCCTTGCATTATATATGGCTCCATTAATCTTAATCGCACACTAGAGATTTTCACACCAGTGTTTTGCAAAAACAGACTGTTGTGAACTTCTGGGGGTGATGACCCTGAAGGTCCAAAATGAAGGCTGTTGCTGCGTTGTAGGACTACAGTTTGCTCTGTAAAATAAAACAATGAAATGAATGAAATGATATTTCATCCTAAGCCTTTCTTATTTATTATTATAATTATGTATTTATTTCAAACTAAAGGTACTCCTGTGCAAACACTTTGGGAAGCTGTGCTTTTTTTCCAGACTTCCTCCTCAGTAGTGTTTCTCCTGTTATTTTACTGTTGTCATTTTTATGGCTGCACAGTGGTAGGAACATCACGTTCCATGTGCTTTTATTTTTTTCTATGCACATATCAGCGTATGAAGCCCATTCTCTTTAAACAAACAAACAAACAAATAACCGCAAAGAAAAAAAACAAAAAACAAGAATGGACCTTATTTATGTGAGTTTATGGAAAAAATCGAATCAAACCTTTCTAGGATTACTCACAGCTGACTTAACTAGAGCAGAAGGAACAACTTATTTCTGCCACAGCCCAATAAAACAATTAGAAAGTTACAAAAACAACCACAAATCTGATCAACACTGAGCATTTTTTCTTCCTGTTTTCATACAGTCATCATGATCTTCTATTAAAGGGGATTCAATTTAGATTTAAATGACATGTAGCAACATATTTTGTGAAAACTTTACAATCCTCTCTTGGGATTTTCTGTATAAGATCTCTGACTTTTGGTCCAGAAAGTCTGCCCCCTTTAAGTTTGCAACCTTCATTGGGTTGTACGTCTGCAGGCTTTAGAAGACAAGCAGACCATCACTTGACCTGCCAGGTGTGTTGAAAGTCTCCCGCTTGATGCTGATACTGTAGGTGCTGCAGCTGGCAGAGCTTCTGCAACAGCTATATACTTAAATAAAATTCAACTGGCTCGAGTTCCCTCAATCCCTCTGACTTTTACAGAGAGCTGCAGGGTGGCAGAAGAAGAATCTCAAAGAACCAGCTGCATAATGAAACCCTCAAAACATTTACAGCAGCTACATCTGAAGACAATATGCCATTACAAACTCACTCAAAGGTAAATAAACAATGGGCTGGCAACTGTAATCGGTTTGACCTCTCTGGCTTTAAGAAAGGCTTAAGTGAGGCTGATGATGCTAAACTCACACAATAAACTGAGAGAGCTAACATTAGGTGGTTAGACACTTCAAAGAGTAATATTTAAGGAAACTATGCCCATGACATTTTCTTGTGCTCCCGTGGCATACGAAAACACTTACGCAGTCATCTTAAGGCCTTAATATTGTTAACATTAAATGCTTGGAATTGGTTCAGGGGCTAAATTTAAGGGGAAAAGAAATGTGCACATTTCCACAGTCCGATTGAGGCTGTCACACTCGTGCGGTGGTCAAAACAGGACCTTAATCTTGTTAACATTAAACTGCAGGAGCCAAAGCAAGGATCTGCATTTAAGGGGGAAAAAAGTGAATATTTCCATACGCCAGTTATAGCTGTCATAATAAAACACGGAGGTGATCAACTTCAGACCTTAATATTGTTAAACTCTCTAGCCTGTTTGGAGCCGCTGTTAGGAAAAATGTGTTTAATATTTCCATATTTCAGTTTAGGTTTTCATAAGAAAACACTTAGGTAGAATTCAATGGCACCAATGTAAACTCAGTGGAAACATATTCCCAGAGGACAGTGTTACATTCAAAGGATAAGTAACGTCTGGTACGATTCCCTGCTCTGAAGATTGCGGCTGGTCTGATTAAAATAAATGAGTGAATTAAAAAACGCTCTTTGCAGAGTGACAGTGAGGGGAACGCAGGTGTCAATGTGCATGCAGTTGGGTTTTTTAGCGACCATACAACTCTTTTTTTAATCTGCTATAACATGTGTTCTTTCATAATAGCCCACTTTATTCAACTCTGCAATTCCTCTCAGCCTTACAGAGCATTTTAGCTCACTTTTGGCTCCCACTTATACATGGAAATAAATTTAGTGAAACAAGAGTAATGAAAAAGATGTCAGAAGCCAATTTCATGTGAGTAGTCTTGTAGTCTTCACATTGGTAGCCTGATACAAGACCCCAAACATAACTCTCATGCTACAACAACTGCCAAAGTAAAGTTGTTATTTTTGTTTTTTAATGTATATATAGACAGCGTACAGGGCAGAGGTAGAGAACTTGTCCTGCGGGTGCTCACAAAATAACCTGACGTTGAACGTCCTTAAAACAAAATAGCTCATAATGGACTTGGGAGGCACAGACAGGTCCACTCCCCTCTCATTATAAATGGAGAACGGGTGGAATCTGTCTCCACCTTCAGGTATCTGGGCACCGACATCTTCGTTGATCTCACTTGGACCCACAACACTAACGCCCTGGTAAAGAAAGAGCAGCAGCGGCTGCACTTTCTCCCTGCCGGCTTTCTACTGCTCCTCAGTGGAGAGCGTGCTGGCCGTTTGGTACACAGGGGCCAAGACTGAGAACAAGAAGGCCGTGCAGAGGGTAATTAACACCACCCAAATAATAACTAGCTAACACTTGAGATGGAATGACCCTATTAGTAAAACCTGATAACCCAAAACTGAAGTACATGTCAGATAATGCATTGTGTGTGAGACACCCCTGATATTACCAGTGTCAGCTGGTTAGCAATTTGTGCCCTTTTATGTACTTACTTGCAGAATCATGTGCAAATGTGATCATAACTTTATTACACCATCACATACCATACCCATGGTAAAAATATACACCCTGCATTTATGGTACATTAGTAATGCCTATGCTAATAGCCATGGAAGATAGTTAACTCTTATCTAAAGAAACATTCACTTTTCTTAAAATACATTTTTAAAAATCTGCTGCAGCACAAAAGGAAACTTATAATTTTCTGGGAAAAAGAGAAGGAAGTTCTCTATTCTGCCATTATTGTGGTTTCACTGATGAAGATACATGAGTAACACAAACCACAGCAGAGCTGTCCTTAACATGGAAGCTGTGGGCACTGATTACTCTGTGTTTAAGTATAGTACAGCATAGCTCACCACATCAAGGAGAAGCGTATTAATGTCAAAGTTAGGCTTCTTCTTCACACTGCGGATGACGCAGCTCTGGACCATGCTGCCTCCACACTCCACCTGCAGGCTGGGGGAGGTAACGCTGGCCAGCTGGAAGCTCTTCAGGTTCCGGACGCCCCATGCTAAAATCTGTCAGGATGACACAGAAAAAGGGGTGTTGGTGTTGTCATTTTTAGACTTTTTAATAATTAAATCTATCAAACTGCTCATAGATATTCAAAATAAAAATAAACAAACAAAATGAAGATCCTTTAAGTTTCTTTGAGTTTAAATTATAAAGATATTTAAAGATATTAATACTGAAAAATAACAGAAACTCTCAGTTGAAGAGATTTTTTATCATATATAATGACTGAAGAGGACACCAGATCCAGACTCATAGAGAAGCATTAAATGAAACCAAGCTTTCTTTGAGGCAAACCAAAAATCCAGCAGGAAAAGCAGGAACTTGTGGGAAACACCGGGAGCTTTAAAGAAATAACTACAGTGACGCTACAAACAGGGATGGTAAGAAATAGGGAACAGGATGACAAGATGACAAGACAAGACAATTTATACACATAGTAATGAGGCGAGAGGCAAACAGGTGGGAAACACATTGGAAACAAATCATGGATAACAAGACACAGGATGTCAAACCCAACACAGGACACAGAGTTCAACATGTACCAAAATAAAACAGGAAGAGAGACACAGCAGAACAGCAATATTAGATTAACGTAACACAACTAAACTAAGGACCATGACAGACAAGACCAACACAAAGACAAGCCTGAGGGAACAGCAAGGGAAGGCTAAAGGGAACTAATAAAGCTAAAGTCATCTATAATTAAGACACACATAACACAACAGAGAATCTGTACCAGGGATCAGAAGACTATGATAATTTTCACTGTTTCTCAGCACCCAGGAAGGTGGTGATAATGAAACAGAAAAGTTAAAGCAGATAATTAGTGATACCTCGATGGCAGTTCTCTGCAGAACAGGTTTGATTCCCTGAGGAATCATGAAGACATTTGGCTCTCTCTGAGGCGGTGGGTAGGGAAGGTCTGACTCCTCCGGCTGTGAATATGGATGCAGGAAAGTAGCAGGTCATCAACAAGTGACCAATAAGAATTTGCACATTCATGGAGTATTGGAATCATCTGAGAAATGACTCCCCGACTAGGAAAATCCCCTTTTCTGGGTGACTGATGCTTTAGTGTCTTGAAATTACACAAAAATCTGGTAAAGGTTTGGTTTAAGGTAAGAAACTTCTAATCAATTGATTTATATGGCTAACGTTTAATCAAGAAGGTGATATGACATTGTCACTGTTTAATGCAATCCATGAGCAATAATGTAGATTAGTCAGAAAACACATTTATTAGCTGGATAACAAGTCTTTAATCTCTGTAGTGTTTTTGCCGTTTCAAAATTCAAATTTAAGAACACATCAAATTCTGAAGAGGAATTTCCCAGGTCGGGAACTGGGACCATCCAAGCAGCACATGAATGCACAACAACAATTTAAACAGCTTGCCATGCTATTTACTGCCAGGTGAATTGTTCTATGGAAACATACATGAAGAAATGTTAAATGACAATGTTTAGGATGAGTATATCAATTTTGTTTTGGAGTGTTAATACCACACAAATGTAATAACATTTAACATAAAAAAGCACTTTAAAAAGCATAAAATAGTACTTTACAACAAGCAGCCCGTTATGTATTTTAAAGCATGTAAATTTAACATTTATTTGGATTAAATATTTTGAACACAAAAGTAATGTAGAAGACCCAACAAGCATGTTGATCCTAAAATCATATAAAACAGGTTGAATGTATTTGAAACTCATTGTGTTTGTCAATTTTAAGTTTGACTGAAAAATATAAAAATATAATGGATTGGATTTATATAGCGCTTTTCAAGGCACCCAAAGTCCTTTACAATTCCACTATTCATTCACTCTCACGAGGCTGCCATATCGCGCCATCGGCCCCTCTGGCCAACACCAGTAGGCGGTAGGTGAAGTGTCTTGCCCAAGGACACAACAACCAGGATAGAGAGCCCGGGGATCGAACCGGCGACCTTCCGGTTACAGATGCACTTCCCAACCCCCAGCAAAATTTTATGCATCACATTAAATTTCCTACATTGTAAATTTATAAACCACATAATCCAAATATATGTAAAATTAAGATGCGATTAAAATGCATAAGAGGCAAAAATATTTTTGCACCTACAAGAATCTGTAGAAGACCAAAGACAACATCGGTAAATACTTCTCCTTCTGAGCTTCAGTATGTTTTCCTAAAAAGGTGTAATTATATTAACAGAAACATTATCTGATTATGATATAATGTTCTCTTTCTTTCTGTGATCACAAAATAATTAACTGTACTCACTAATGATACAATTTAATCTGGAATCTTCTGAAAGTGAAACTTTCTTGAGCTCCTATAAAAAATGTAAAAATAATTTAAAGTCTGCATGCATGCTGTCTTTGGACTTCCATACACATCTACAACACACATACAACATACAACAAACCACGTGTAAAAACCACACAGTGTTAGATTACTGCTGATCAAAAATGAGTAAATAAACATTTCACGTTTTAGAAAAAGGGGATGGCTTTTAACATGCACGTGAGATAAAATTATCAGCATATGCAGTAAATGGACAGAGACATCAAATGGGATGACCATGGATGGATTTGACTTTGTGTTTCTATATTGTACCCATTGCTGCAGGTTTTCAGAGAGGAATCCTGGAAACATCAGCTGAAGAAGCCAGAATGAAGAAAAAAGAAAATAATTCAGCACAAAAGATAAATGAAAAGAGCTGTAACTGCACATACATACTGCAACATGTGGTGTGTTTTTGATATGGTTGGAAGACAAGCTGTATACTGCATACAAGACGCATAAAGCTGAAGTGAAGACAAATGCAGAAGTGCCCTGAATCTGGCTACTGGTGGAACTGCAGAAATTAGCGTTAATTTTTATTTGCCTTTGATGTCACTTGCTTATTTTATGATCTCCAGTTTCAAGATCCTTTTGTCAATTATGGCTCCCAATTACAGTAAAATAGGTCATAAAGCACCGTATTGTTCATGGTGTAGTAACTTTGTGACCGACAAGTTACGTTTGATCCGATCCTCGATCAGGGAATTACAAAAAAATGTTAAAGTTGTGGCTTCAAAATAGAACATCCCTGTGTCCCTTTCTATCTTTTACATACAGTTTATGAAGAAAGCAGCAGAAAGAAAAACTGAAGAAAGGACTTCATAATAAATTATTCTGATTTAGCCAGTTTGCTTACTTTGAGACTTTTCCTAACAAAAATCAAAAATGGGGGAAAAAAAACAAGTTATTTAAAAAATTTTTATGAATATTTACTCTTTGACTCTCCTAGACTGTGTGATAGTCTCGTATCAGTCATGTTTACTATCAAACATTTAAATTTAGGGAAAAACGGTACAACACTTGGTGTGGTTTTACCTCATCTAAGACGTGGGTGGAAGTCAGGAAATCTCCCTGTAGATGATACGACATGAGTTATATTTCAAAGTTAAATGGAAAAGACAAAAATTCAAGAAGGAATGGGAAAAAAATGGAGATAAACGTACCTCTTGACCTGGAATATGGTGAAGTGACGGCTGTTGGAATAACAGTGAAATCAAGACTTATCCTCAAAGACTAAAGCATCCATATCAGAACTACATGCCTTTTTAAAAACTTTGAATATGACAAGAAGGGAAAAAGACCAGTAGGTGAAAGTGTCAAGTTGATCTCTGACCTTTTCTCTGCGTATAAGCTCAAAGGCAGCCAGCAGCTCGCCAGCGTTCTTGTCCCCTCTGCGAATTGGGAACCAGGCCAGGCGTGGCGACCGAGTCAGTGAGGGCTGGCACACGCAGCGACCCATGAACTCATCAGCTCCCTGAAGAATGAAAACACAACATAGACATACATGGTACATCCATGTTTTAGCAATATAGAAAAACAAACAGATGTTCAAAGACCTCTAAATAGCTTTCATGACATTTAAACACTCACGTATGTGTCCTGATCGTAGAGTTCCACTATAATATTGGGGGGGCTGGCCATCGTGACCTCGGAGTCGCCAAAAATCTCCACTTCATAGAAGATGAGCGTCTGGTCCCAGGTGGGATTGAGAGTGTTTCGCACTGTCACCGTCTTCTGGGATTGGTGGAGGAAGGATACGATCGCGTAGGGGTCTGGGGAGAGAAAAACACTGTGAGCCTTTCTTTTCGCTAGTTTAAACTTGGTGAGAGTGCATATGACTCAAGGTCTGGACGTTTGGAAGAGTGAGGTCATTTATTTTTTAATGGCTCAATATTTGTTTACTCAACCTATACGGTTTCCTTTACCTATGGAAGATATAATGTTATTGATGTATTAGACTGGATTATTAAAAGGATTTTTTGCATGACAGTCCCATCCATCCATCCATCCACTTATCTGGGTCCAAGAGAATACCCATTTTAGAAGGGAAGCTCATAGCGCCCTCTTCCAGCCATTTCCTCCCACTGTGGACCTTCACAGGGAGGATAAGGAGTATTATCCTCCTGGAGTTGGTGTCCAGGTCCTTTTCCTTTAAAAAGTTACCACCACCACCACTATAATCTGCTAATCCAGACAGGCCTACCCAGAACTTCCCCAATGCTGCAGAGGAGTGTCAACCAGGGCAGCCCCTCAACATCCAGAGCCTTAAAGGAGTCACTGTGAATTGTATCCAACCCACAGGCCCAGTGAAACAGAGTTTTCTTGCTACCTCAGTGACCTCAACCACAGTCATGAGTGAGTCGTCTCCAGACCCTGCATCGTCTACAGAGGTCGTACTAGTGGGGTTTAGGAGATGGGTGAACTGTTACATCTAGCTTGATGGATATTGAAGAGTTTCAAGAAGCCGGCCCTTAGTGATGCATTAATGAGAAGATTTGTCACTTGCAAATTAGAAAGAATGAAATATAATGCAACTTCTCAGAGAGACCAAACATGTATAAGCAGAAAGGGTAGTTTCTGTTTTTCACACTGGGTCTCATTTTGGTCACTCCCAAAAAACAAAAATTTAAAAAAAGGAAAATTAAATGGTTGCAACATCTTCTGGGCGAAGGTTTTGGAAGCTGCTTACGAGCTTTTGCCACCCTAATTTGCAAAGCAGAGAGCAAGGTTATTATTGAAGATGCTGAGTGAGTTTTTAAAGACGGTCCTCACAAGTATAGCAGTACAAACTTATGCACGATTATGTCCAAACTGTCCTGGCGTCCTGCACAGTGACATCAGCAGCTTGGGAATGCCAAGCTCGAGACAGAGGGCTGGGAACGCCGCTCTGGGAAGTTTGTTATTCCAGGTTAAAACCGCTCTCCTCCATGTTAAACACACACACACACACACACACACACATTGAATTAAACACATGTAGCCTACGTACAGTTACACAGACTGAGTAGTTTGTTGTTTCAGGCCGGGTAAAGAGTCTCTGTGGAGCCGTTAGCATTGGAGTAAACAGAAGTTAAGATGCATTTTCCCACCAGCCCTCAATTAACCCTATATCTAAGACACACACACACTCGCACACAGTGTACAGACACACCACCCATGGTGACCCATTCAATTACCGTCCATTTCCAACATCCCATTAGCTCATAAAAACAGCAATACAAACAGCCCCGGGGGGTTATGTAAGTCTGTGCTTGTGTGTTTTTAGTGAGAGTGCGTGTGTGTATGTTTGTGTAGAGGGGAAGCGGCAGTAGTCAGGACCCCAGTGGGAGCCACAGAGGGACATAAGCAAACGAAGACTGGGAAAAGAGAAAGAGGAGAGGAGGGAGGATGGAAAGAAAGAGAAAAGGAGGGAGGAGAGGACAGGAGGAAAAGAGCATTATCTCTAAATGTGGAGATTTTGATCTAAGATTAGATACAGTTTAAAGGAAGAATGATGAAGAAAATTCAAGAAGGGGGAATGAGTGGAATCAAGCCACACAAGCATTCTTCATGACTTTATTTCTGCTGTTTGAGGGAACATAGAGCCTTACAAAAGACACTCTGTCAGAATAAAATACTAAAGAGCTTCGCGGCAGTTAAACCTGCAATGTTTAACTTTTGTCTCCATCTTCTGCGGACAGTATGCCCATGAATGACCGCAAAAAATAACAAAGTACAGCCAGCTTGATAGAAATAGTGGTGAGCACAGTGCATAGCACTTTCTATAAAGTACCTGGGTGTAGTTAGTGAGGCCTGTACAACCTACTTGGGCTACCAAGAATCTAATCAAACAAGTTCTTAAATTCCAAAGTCATCAAATATTGTCTCTACGGGGGAAAGAGTTACGTCATTTTAACATGAGAACATGGGAATGGACTCCCGTTTGAATACAGCTTCAAGTGTTAATTTGAGGAACTGCAGTTTAAGGGATCATCAGGGCTTTTTTTTAACCTCAAGAAATTAAACTATTAAGAGAAAATAGTCTCGCCTCTTTGTGGCTTTTGTGAGCACAAAGCTTAAATCAAAGCAGGAAGTAAACCAAACATGTAAAGAGAAGAAACACTTCATCAGCTGATTGCTCTACTAGTTGCTTCGTCAGCACGCAGTTTCTTGCCCGGATGTGTGGTAAGATCATTGCTTCAGATGGTTGAAAGAAGCAAACAAACAGAGGCAGACGGCAAAGGGCAAACGGGGAACTATAAAGAAAAGCTTAAAAAGACAGATGTGCAGGAAAAGCAGAAAGAAACACAGACAAAAGATGAAAGGCAATCAGAGAAAAAGACAACAGACAGAAGGAAAAAGAAAACAAGAAAGACCTCAGCGTCTTTAATCATGGATGCCCAGACGCCATGTTACACCAGATTAACGCACAAGTGAAGCCCATCCATCAACTCTACTCACCCATTACATCATGTGTGTGTGTGTGTGTGTGTGTGTGTGCGCGTGCTAAGGAGACCGAGTGAATGAGAGTGATAGCGATTCATCATGTCAGTCTGTGGCCAGGATGCTCTCTGAGCTTCTTTCTCTCTAACCCTGTCTTTAACCAACCTCCCATCTATCATCGCTCTCCCCCTCCATTTGTCCGTCCATCCATTCGTCTGTTCTCTGAGAGCTCTGTTTTTACATGTGAGTCTGCGGTGGGTTTCTGATTAACACAGGCTCGCAGCAGTCGCAGTTACCGTGACCTCTCTGAATGGAAGAAAAACATGTTGTTTTGTGCGTGTGCTTTGCTCTCTCATTCTGTGCGCCTGTTTTCTGCGCGGCTTTTCCTTATGTCCCGTAAGTTTCGCCTGCTGCGGTGTATTTAAAGACTTTATTTATTTATTTGAAAAGTCAAAGGATTGTTAGCAATGACAAAGCGTGAAAAGACACTTGTCAATAGTGATGTTTTAACTTATGAACATATGTTTTCGGCCACATGGGGGCAGCAGAGACATATTAAATGCAAGTTTATTATTCGCTCTCTTTGTATGGAAGCCCGTTTCAAAAAAAAAAAAAAAAAAAGGATCTCGAAATTTCGACTAATTAACTAAAAATTTCAAGAAAATAACTCGAAATTTCGAGTTATGGATACTTCTTGTTTTGCTTTTTTTAGTGGCAGAAACGGGCCGCTACTTGATATGAAGTAGCAAGTGAGTGGAAACAATCCACCCTCCCTCAACAATGAGCCTGTCATGGCCTTTAGTTTTTTTTTTTCTTTAGTTGTGCATTTTGTAACTATCCTTGTGTTTTGATCTTTCGATCCTATTCACAGATGGAGATTCATTGTTCCAGGTTTTGCTTCATGTTGTAGTTATATTTGCAGCTGCAGGCCTCCTCAGTTTTTGCTCTCATGTTCTGTCTTTGTGTGTTTATGCACCCAGAGTCAGGAAAATCTATTTCTAAGACACAGAAAGATGAAGGCATCCTACAGATAATGCAGTCTGGGATTATTTTGCACTTTGCACCATCACTTTTACTGCCTTTAACTTATGTCCTGTATATGTAAACATAACACTCCGATAATCACCACAACCCTAATTTCTTCCTGGAGGGATGCAAGAAAATCCATCTTATGTAACAAACAGTGAATATACGGTAATGACACAGATTTGGCGTCTGGATTGGAATAAAGGGGGAAAACAACATGCAAGATTAAAGGTGTCTAACAAAGTAAAATCATCAAAACTGCTGGAAAAAATGATTTGGGGTCAACTTTGGCTGCCAGATGATGCAGCAGTTCCAACATTGTCTTCAGTACCTGAGAAGCTGTCTTTGTCCATGGGCAGCAGGTCTCTGGCTTGATACAGATAGCAGCGCAGATGGTATCGAGTGCCACCTGCATATATACAAATGCACACACAGACACAGATATGTACACGCATCATTATACACACAAAAACAGGGACGGGAAAGAAAGGGAGGAAAAAGGAAGCTGCCTTACACTCAAAGAAACAGGAAATGGTAGGTCTGTTGACTCCAAACGTGGTCGTAACCGACTTGTCTTCATTCTTGTCCTCTATACTGCTCTGTGGAGGAAGGGTCGGAGGAGAGGAGCAGACCAGAAACAAAACCTTTTACAAGCACAACAAGCACTTTCTTTC